CGATAGCGGTCGACGGTGCGTCCAAGCGCCGTTCCTGCCAGCGCCTCGCACGCCGAGCCCTTCGTGTGGCCAGGGCGGGGGCGATCAGCGAGGGTCCTGGGCTCCGGCGTTCGGCAAGGCTCCCATGGCACGACGCAGCGCGACGAGCAAAGAGAGGCAGAGAGAGAGGGAGGAAACACACATCTATACATACACGTATACACATATATGTATGTATGTGTAAATGTTTACGCATCTATATATATATGTATATATATATATATATATATATATATATGTATACATATATATGTACATATCTATACATATATACATACAAATACCGAGAGAGAGAAAGAGAGAGAGAGAGAACGATGTATACGAATATATATATATATATATATATGTACACATACATAATAATAAGCAACACGACATATATACATATATATATATATATATTATATATAGAATAGAGAGAGGAGAGAGAGAAGAGAGAGAGAGAGAGAGAGAGAGAGAGAGAGAGAGAGAGAGAGAGGAAGAGAGATAGGCACACACACACACACACCGAGGCGGGCACGCGGATTCAGAATGGCAGGGGCAGGCGACTGCCCGGCCGAACTCTTTTTGGGGGTCGAGCCCAGCCCGCATGATCAGGGGGTCCCCGCTCTGGCGCCGAGGCGACTAGTCAGGAAGAGCGGAGTGGTGGCAGCGGCGACACGCCCCGCGCCTGCGCACCGCAAAAGGATGCGCTGCCGCTCAGGTAGCCCCCGTTGGCCTGAGGGCGTCGGCAGCCAGCAGCACCACACGCCGGGCAGCCCTGGCGTGGGCACAGTTGAGCATCTGATTTAGAATCGGCCGCGAGCGAGGGGGGGCAGTGAGAAGGGGCGGGCCTTCTCAGAAGGCTCGGAAGTCCCCCGGCCTTGTGAGAAGTTTCCTGAACTCCCCTCGAAGACACAGCAAATCCTTCAGAAACCCAGAGGGCTTCTGAGAAACGCCGCCGCCGCCTCAGACGGCCTTCTCCTTCTCACTTCCCCCCCTCGCCCGCCGCCGATAGAAGCCTCCCCCCGGAAAGCGGGGCCAGCGTTTCTCAACCACCTTGCCAGAAAGCTGGCCCAGTGTCTCGAGCACCTTCGCCCTCCATCGTTAACAACAGACGTTGGCCCAGGTTCCTTTCAAGAACCTCCGGGCAGCTGGCCCAGATCTCTTAAACGATAGTTTGAATTCTTCACGCTTCGCGTATCCCCACCAGCCCATCTCAAAACAGCAACTCTTGCGAAGCATGCCGACAGTCGTGTTTTTCAGGCGTGTTTCCGCCTGCCCCCGCATATCTCCCCTGTTCCTCCTTCCTCCCGCCTCCTTGTACATCCTCCTTGTGGTGGGAGCGGGAGAAGGACGAGGCGGAGGAGGAGGGAGAGAAAGCGGTGGGAGGCAAGAGGGATTTAGCGGAGACGACGACCACAGCGATGATCCTAACAACGACGACGCACCCGACGACGACGACGATATCGACCGCGACGACGACGACGACCACAACCGCGACGACGACGACGACGACGACGTCGACGACGACGACGACGAAGGCGGCGGCGGCGACGACGACGACGACGACGACGACGACGACGACTGGTGGGAGTCGTTGGGGCCCCTCGTGGGGTGAGTCGTTCGGCCCCATCGTCCTTGTGTGAGTCCTTCGGGCCCCTCTTCCTGGTCTGAGTCGTTCGGGCTCCTCGTGGTGTGAGTCGTTCGGGCCCCTCGTCCTGGTGTGAGCCGTTCGGGCTCCTCGTGGTTTGAGTCGTTCGGGCCTCTCGTCCTGGTGTGAGTCGTTCGGGCCCTTCTTCCTGGTGTGAGTCGTTCGGGCTCTTCGTCGTGGTTTGAGTCGTTCGGGCTCTTCGTCCTGGCGTGAGTCGTTCGGTCTTCTCGTGATGTGAGTTGTTCGGGCCCTTCGTCATGGTGTGAGTCGTTCGGGCTCCTCCTCCTGGTGTGAGTCGTTCGGGCTCCTCGTGGTGTGAGTCGTTCGGGGCCCTCGTCCTGGTGTGAGTCGTTCGGGCTCCTCGTGGTGTGAGTCGTTCGGGCGCCTCGTCCTGGTGTGAGTCGTTCGGG